GGCTGCCCGCCTGTAGCCTCCCGTCTCGCCTTCCCTGCGCTGGCGCTCGGCCCCGCAGCAACCTGCTGACGAATCCCACTTGCAGTTCCTATGGCAGAAGCCGCTTCCCCCCCTCCACTAATCCGCCCGTGCATGCAGCCTCCACCTGCTGAGCCAGTGGGAGCCGTGCTCAGCCGGCCCCAGCCAGCGCCAGGGCTCGGAAACCCGCTCCGGCTGCAGAGCCTCCACAACCCGGTCCTGCCGCCACAGGAAACCCCGACCCCGCTTGGCACCGGGCAGCGAGGAGGCTGCAGGCAGTGAGGAGGCTGCAGGCAGCATCATCTGGCACCAGGAGAGCTGAGCCCTCCAGGTAAAGGCAGGGTGCAGGCAGGGGGGTGAGCAGAGCAAGCGCTGTCCCTGCTGTGCCTTGTTCCCCTGGGTACCAGGGAGTAAGTCTGGCTCCAAGCCCCACTCTGCTGAGCCAAGGACTTGCCCCCCATTTTGGCTGCACAGCAGTCCTGCTGCAAGGTCACCCTGCAGCCGGGAGCCTGTGCTGAGCTCCCGGAGCCATCACCCACTGCCTCGCTCCCCCACCCCGGGGGGACAGAGGTCTGGGACCCCAACCAGGACCCGGGGCTTTCTGGTCCTGTGGCTGCAAGGAGGGTTCGGAGCCTGGCCCTGCTGTGGGGGGGGAGTGAAAGGGGGGGGAGCAGCAGTGGTGGAGCTGGCTGCCGGCACCCTGCCCTCCTTGCCTGGGCAAACTCGGAACACGGCGATGACCCCCTCCCGGGGCAGGAAACCCCAAGGCAGGGTCCCCAGGAGGGCACAGGGGCAAGAGGGCCAGCCGTCTGCTCCAGGAGGAGGGGAGTCACTGGGAAAAGCCAGAGCATGGGACATCCCTGTGCTAGGGCTGCGGCAGTGGGGCGACCCCAGCAGCACCCCTCTCGCAGATGCGGGAGCTGCAGCTGGGCGGGCCCCGGGGCAGAGTGGGGTGCGAGGCAGGGTTAGGCAGGGGTGGGAGCACCGGATTGCAGTGCCAGCAGCACCGGGGCCAGCCCTGGGCTGGGGCTGAGGGCTGTCCTGCACCCGTCTGCACTGTGTCCTTGACGTGGCAGGCAGCGCGCTAGGACCTGGCGAGCCCCGGGCAGGCATTGCTGGCAGCGCTCTGCCTGAACGGTGCGGGATCGTGCCTTGTCAGCTGGCAGCACGGCGGGAAGGAGCCTGTCAGCTCCGGAAAAAAACATGTAAGCAAGCGTGGCTGTGCCCCGGGCTACCCTGGGCCGGGCAGGAGCTCCCTGCGCTGTGTCCCATGGGCAGGGACGCACCGGCCAGAGGGCTGGGGACTGCCGCCACAGGCTGTCAACAGGGCATGGAGTTAAGGGCCGGTGCCTGCTGCCACGGGAGTGGGTGGGTGCTGAGGCAGAGCGGGGACCCCGGCAGCGGTGATGGCTGTGCTCCAGGGAAGCCCTGGCGCCTGTCCCGTGGCAGTGCAGGGCAGTCAGGGTTGGGGTGCTGGGGGGGTGACAGGCTGTCCGATGGGTGCTTTGACCCCAGCATGCTCACCCCACACTCCTGCCTGTACTGGGTGCTGCTGCCTTCTCCTCTCCCTCCGGGACCCCATCGGGGGCTGGGCAGGGGACCTGTTCCGGGAGATATGGCTGGCACCAGGCCAGTGCCATGGGGCAGCAAATGCCTCCCCCCGACCCCCCCAGCACCAGCCAACTGGGTAAGGTGTTTGGTTACCCTGCCCATGGGGATGTCACCCCAGGACTGGCACAGCCACCTCTGCCGGCCCCTGTCACCTTGTGTCAGTCCCAGCCTTCCCTGAGAGCTGGCTGCCTCCCTGTCCCACCAGTCCCATATGTTCCTGTATGGCCCCCGGGGTGCCTGCACCGCAGGGGACATGCTGGGAAGCCCTCCCTGTTCCTGGAGGCCCTTGGGCTGTGCCACCCCTCACCTCCCTGCTGGGGCTTCTTCTGTAGCCCCGTCTGCCTCTCGTAGGCCCTTTGTCCCAGTAGCCGGGCACTCTCCCATGACCCTTTCTATTTGTAGGCTGACCGCTGAGAGCCGGGAGCTCACTCTCTGCTCTTGCACCATTTCCCATCCAGCTCCTTCCTCCCCCGGCGCCATTCCCCGGCTGCCCTCGGCGTGATTTGGCCCGGTGCAGAGGTCCCAGCTGCCCCTGGGGCCCGAGGCTTGTTTGCAGGAGCCTGACCTCACGTGCAGGGGAGAGAGCCGAAGGTACAGGCAGCGCAGGGTTCATGGCATGGCCCTTGCCCCCACATCCACCGTGTCTCTCAAGGTCAGGGTGCTGCTCTGCCGCCCTGGTAAAGGTCTCATGCGAGAGGTGAGACCTCCCGCCACAGGCTGTCAACAGGGCATGGAGTTAAGGGCCGGTGCCTGCTGCCACGGGAGTGGGTGGGTGCTGAGGCAGAGCGGGGACCCCGGCAGCGGTGATGGCTGTGCTCCAGGGAAGCCCTGGCGCCTGTCCCGTGGCAGTGCAGGGCAGTCAGGGTTGGGGTGCTGGGGGGGTGACAGGCTGTCCGATGGGTGCTTTGACCCCAGCATGCTCACCCCACACTCCTGCCTGTACTGGGTGCTGCTGCCTTCTCCTCTCCCTCCGGGACCCCCCATGGGGCTGGGCAGGGGACCTGTTCCGGGAGATATGGCTGGCACCAGGCCAGTGCCATGGGGCAGCAAATGCCTCCCCCCGACCCCCCCAGCACCAGCCAACTGGGTAAGGTGTTTGGTTACCCTGCCCATGGGGATGTCACCCCAGGACTGGCACAGCCACCTCTGCCGGCCCCTGTCACCTTGTGTCAGTCCCAGCCTTCCCTGAGAGCTGGCTGCCTCCCTGTCCCACCAGTCCCATATGTTCCTGTATGGCCCCCGGGGTGCCTGCACCGCAGGGGACATGCTGGGAAGCCCTCCCTGTTCCTGGAGGCCCTTGGGCTGTGCCACCCCTCACCTCCCTGCTGGGGCTTCTTCTGTAGCCCCGTCTGCCTCTCGTAGGCCCTTTGTCCCAGTAGCCGGGCACTCTCCCATGACCCTTTCTATTTGTAGGCTGACCGCTGAGAGCCGGGAGCTCACTCTCTGCTCTTGCACCATTTCCCATCCAGCTCCTTCCTCCCCCGGCGCCATTCCCCGGCTGCCCTCGGCGTGATTTGGCCCGGTGCAGAGGTCCCAGCTGCCCCTGGGGCCCGAGGCTTGTTTGCAGGAGCCTGACCTCACGTGCAGGGGAGAGAGCCGAAGGTACAGGCAGCGCAGGGTTCATGGCATGGCCCTTGCCCCCACATCCACCGTGTCTCTCAAGGTCAGGGTGCTGCTCTGCCGCCCTGGTAAAGGTCTCATGCGAGAGGTGAGAAAAGAGGGTCCCCGCCGCTGCTCGCTGCTCCTATCCCTCCTGTGCCCTGGTGCTGCCTCAGGGAGGGAGCAGGCTCTGTAGGGGCTGCGATGTATGGGGAAAGGTAAGGAGTGAGGGAAGCTGGCACGGCCGGGTGGTAGGAGATAGTGAAACTCATCTGTCACAGTCCCCAGGACCATGCAGGAAAGATGATGGAGGACACGGTGGAGGAGCACGGCCACATGCTGCTGCTGGCCTGTTTGCGCTGCGCTGGCTGTTTCGTCCACAGACATAGAAGGAGCCCCCGCTCCCTGCCAAGAGTGGCCGGAGCATCCCTGAAGGCAAGCTGGGTGGCACTGGGAGCAGCAGGATGGGGGATGCGGGCAGCAGTGGCAGAGCAGCCTGTCCTGCACCAGGGCGGGCAGCCCTGACCTGAGCTGCCGGCAGCAATGAGCCACTCTGGAGCTTACCGGGAATCCAGGCTTTTGTGGAGCTCTTTTTCTTCTCAAGAAGCCTGGCTTTTTGCAGGGATCCCAGCACTTCCATGACTGCAGCTACAAAGCAGGGCCAGCAGCAGCACAGCACCAGCACTGCTGGGCACCATACAGCAGCTCAGCCCTGCTGTGAAGCTTCCCAGCTCTGCCATCCCAGGACACAGCACTAGCAAAAGCCAGGTGACATTTTTCCACCTGCTTGCACCCACTGGAGATGGCAGGTCCTGCAGGGAGAGTGGAGAAGGCAGGGAGTAGGTGATGCCTGCAGGTCCTCCTCAGAAGGGGGGGGGGTCTTCGTGGGAAGCCAGCCACTGCTGTTCTCAGGGCTGACTTTCCCCTTCTGGCTTGCCAGAAAGGAGATTTACTGGGTCTGGGTAGCAGTGTTAGCAGAGCAGGCTGTGTTTCCTCGGAGACTGTCTGTGAGTCCCTGTCAGCTGAGAATGGATGTGCCGAGTCAGCCTCAGGCCATGAGCCCCTGGGAAGGTAGTGCCAGGAGCCCCTCTTGTCCCTATGGCACTTGGCAGAGGCACAAGGATGCTCCTGGCTGCCTTATAGCCCAGGGTGGCGGGGAGAAGCAGGCAAGCTGCCTTTTGAGAAGTGAGCTATGCTGAGGAGGTGCGCCTCGTGCTTTTTCCTGTCCCATCCCATCCCTGTGAGACTCAGGGCTCACAGGGGACCAGCCAGGACCCCTTTCTCTGTGGCCTGCAGTTGAGCCGCAAGCACAGCCCTGCAGGACAGGTATCATGCTCAGGACGACTGTCACTGTGTTGTGTCCTCATGTGATCCATCCTGGGTGACAGCAGGACCCTGAAATCTGCTTCTGAACACCATCCCTGCCCTTCTGCATGGTATGTTACCTCCAGGCAGATGCTGCCCTGCTCCTTTTCACCGCCTTCAATCCAAGAGCTGGAGCTTCTGCCCTTGGACTTCCCTGCTTATGCCCCAGATTTCCTGGCTCTCGCTCATCCCCCACCCCCCCTCTGTGGCACAGCCATGGGTTAGCACAGCGCACACACACACACACCAAGCCCTCCGAATTGCTGCCCACACTTTGGGGTGCCTGGTTCCACTTTGCGCACACAGCTCCCGATGCCGGTGATGCCCCCATCCCCCTGCTCCAGCCCACTGCCTCCTCGTCCTCGCGGTGGGCCTGGGGTCCCAGCGCTCGAGCCCTTGCCTGCCCTTCCCTAGCCCCCTGCCCGAGGCGCGGCTGGGGATGCTTCCCGGCTCAGAAAGGCCAGATCCTCTCCCACCAGCCATCATCTCCCCACTTTCGGGAGCACGCCACTGCTGCGCTCCCCCCCCTCTGCTTTCCCACCCTCCCTCCCGCATGCCGCGGAGCCACTTAAGCCTATAGGCCGGCTAAGCCGTTCCCCGTGGGCTCCCCGTGCTTCCCGGTCACGGGAGGGGGCCCACAGCTTGCCGGCCGCCCACCCGGGGACCGCCGCCCCCCGTGCCCGCCGCGG